AATCTATATATACATAAAGAAGAATGTTTGTCTGTCTGTTCTTTATGCATTTCCACACCGTACAGGCCAACGCAACCAAAATCTCCAGGAATCATCCTCTCAGCCGGGGAAGGTCGTAGGAGAAAATATGTTTGATGAATCATCTGCTTGCAGAACACATCTTTGAGACAAAGTCTTTCATGTTCCAAAGAGTGAAGTTTAAATAAATCCTTATAGGCTAACTTAGCACGAACAGCTACGCGAATTGAATTGTAGCAGTGTCAGTCACAAATATATCAATAAAGTGTCTTTGTTTCTGATTCTAACAATACTAATATCGATTGATGAACATGTTGGGATACAGATAAAATCAAGATTTCAATTCATTTAACATCATTAATTAAACAAGTCAAATTGACGATGGTTTAAAACAAATTTCTTAATATTTCTTTTTCGAGACATTGATTTTTTCCAGTAATTCCAAATCCTGATTGTCTCGCAGAACCTTATTTAGAATCTCAAATACATATTAATGTATTAAGTTTCATATAGTATTTATTTGTAATAATATTCAAAACCATATTCAAAGTACATAAGACAGATAATGTATAATTTTTAAAATCGAAAACAATTGTAGTACGTAAATACTCCAGTAAATGATCAATTGTTGAGTAATCTCGAAATTTCTTTCTTAATCATTGATGAGCCGTTTTCGTTCTCTTTAGTCTATTATTGAAATAAGATAATAAATAAATGAATATGAACGAATTATCAATAATTCTAAAGAATATAAATGTTTGATATTCTGAACCATCGAAATACATTTAAAGTTTTATTGTATACAAATTAAAGTAATGATCTCGAATAAATATGTTCAATACTGATGATGACAAAGAAAAAAAACGAGAATACTACAGACAAAGAACAACCAAAAAGATATGTAATTATTTTCAATGTATATATACAAAAGACGAAAAATACTTTCAACATTGTTTTGCTTAAATTGTCATCGAAAAAAAAAGACGAAGAAGCATTTTTATATACATTTTTAAATAATGAACAATGTTTGATTTAACCATAGACCGATTCATCGTTATAAGCCACATATAAAAATTTATCTTCATCTGTCTAACATACAAACACATATGTATATTAAAATAGAATCAATTAAAATACAAACATGTTCTTGATAAAGAGCTCCCATAGTCATTGATGTATTTGGAATTACCTTTAAAAAATAATTTGAAATATATCAAATTGAAAAAATAATTATAAATTTTACATTATTAACAAAGAAAAAAAGTGCATCTTCAGGTCGAAGTTGTATTCGTTTACAAATTAAAAAATAAAATTGACCGACCTTTACAAAACAAAAAAAAAATAATTAAAATTCATAAAATCAAATCAAATGAAAATTTACGGTAAGATCATTCGGTACTTAATATTTTTTTGATGGAAGATCTGCAACACGTGAATTCGGTGCTCGTTCAACAATGACTGGACATCAATCCGGATATTCACGACGAATACGTTCACCTAAATTTCAATTAAAATACAATTAAATAAATTATATTCTATACCCTCTGCTCGTCAACTTTCATATAACAATTATTTACTTTAAATTCCCAACGCATTTTTAATCAAATCTATAAATGATTTGGATTTTATTCGAAGAATATCCAAAGAGTTCCAAATGACAAACTCACATGATGATGATGTTATATTTATTAATCTTTCATGGAGAGAATAATCAATATATTCTAATGATTGTTCATCTTCAGACAGTCTTCTTCTATCATTGTTAGAAATTGAGATGAAATCTTTGAAAAATATTTCGGAATAACAATCGATCAAATAATATATAATCAAATGCAAATATAAGAATATCAGATTCTCGTATTAATTCATTATCATTATTTTTTCTTTTTGAACTATTTTACAATGAATAACATCACCAATTGATAAATAAAATAAATAATGATTAATTGTTAATTGATTGATTATATGAAAAAGTTCAATGGTATTTTCAAAGACGTTGAAGTCAACCAGTGAAGATGATTGATGATCATTAATGATGTTTTGTTTTACAGTACTATGATCATTGTCAAAAATGATTCGATGTTTAGAATATTTTGTGTTTGCTTAAAACAAATCGAAGAGCTCGTCATAGACAATCGATTGATAATGAATCCTGCATCATTTGTAGAACAATCAGTTCACTATATCAAAAATACGTTTTACATAAGATATTCCGGTCTTTTGACAAAGATTTGCTAATACGGATTTACATAACTGATGATGTTGAATAGACTCTCGATCAAATTGAGTAAAACCTAAAATAGTGATTTGAAAATTTTATAGATTGATTCATTTCTTTTATTATCAATAGCCAATGAACCTAACCATTGACCAGTTTGATCAATATCAATAATTTTCATATAAATACGTTCATTTATATTAATTCGTTTATTTGTAAATGTAATATTTGAAAACAAAGGTAAAATGATTAAATTGAAATATAAATATAAATAACCATTATCAAATGATGTATGTCGAGTGGCTTTAAATGCATTATCATCTATTAGAATATTTTGTCCGAATGTCTTTCGGTGGAAGGAAACTGATGGAAATGTGGCGTTGTTGTTCATTGCTGATACCCGTGCCGTTCTAAAACAGATTTAGATTTCTTTTTTTTATTACAAAATAGAAAATTTTTTTTATTAAGTCAGTACATGGATTCTTCCCACTAGTCGTCAGAATAAAAACACGCCAAATCATTCATTTTATAGCTTTAGATGTAGTGACCTCTGTCGTTGAATTTTTTAATTAAAAAAACCGTTTTTCTAATATTGAAAATAAATTTATCTTGTTTAATGAAGGAATTGATAATTGGAAGCATAAACAAATTCTATGAAACTAACGAACATTATAGGACTATTATGCGATTGGATATTAAGTTCCTCAAACAGTGGTGTATGTGGGCTCCGTTTAAGGGAATCCAACGGTTTAAGGGATAATGTGGAAACCATGATGGAGGCACGAATGTAAAAATTCGATTGGTTCATGTTTTCAAATAGGAATCATGACAGTGATTGATGATTCACCAGAAGTCGCCAAAATTCACTAAATTTTTTTTCTTACTATTTTTTTTTATATGGGAAATCTATAATTTTTTTAAAGATTTTTAAAGAAATCTGACACGAGTTGTTGAATATAACTTTTCTGTTTGTGAGCTTTGGATGTGAGTATAGACAATTAATTATTTATCATTAAAGTCAAAATCATCGTTCATTTCAAGATTTCCATCGATTACAATTTTTATTTTGTTATACAAAAAGACAATTACAGTCTGTAATTTTTCAGTATACAGCCACCGCCACATTTCACATCCACATCCATGCCCTATTGTAAGACAGATTCTCGAAATGGTGTGTCATAACACTATCATACTTCTCTCCACTCAATCTCTTGATGAATCGTAGGGTATATTAGAAATCAATTTTCTTTCTTGTTAATTTATTTTCTTGGTTCATAGAGATTCAATAATGAATTTATAGCTAAAAAAGATTGATATAAAATGTTCAATGAATCATCAATCACTGTCATGATTTCTATTTGAAAACATGAACCAATCGAATTTTTACGCTCGTGCCTCCCTCATGGTTTCCATATTATCCCTTAAACCGTTGGATTCCCTTAAACGGTGCCCACATGAAATAGATTGCATCCACAAATCGAAACATTAGTTTTGGTAAGCTGTCAAGAGCCAATGACTCACGCTTTGGATAGCAGATCCAAAAGTTACTTATGCACTTTGAGTAAGATCTCGGGCAATGGGTTTAATGCTATGATTTTTTAAATAAAAGATGTCAATTTTAATTCTCATTCGAACGTACTATATCCGATTAGGGGCGAAATTCGCCTAAGGACTTTTAACAGAAATTACTGTCCGACAGTAACACCCTCTAAATCTCTTTTCATTATTGACTTTCACTCTCATCACGTTATCCAATAGTCTATGTTGGTTACAGTGGCGTAGCCAGGAATTTCTGAGCCATGGGCCATTTCCCAGCTAACTTATTTTGCAGATTGGGCAACAATGGGTAATTCAAAATCATTTGGGCTATAGTTTTTGCAAACTTATTAGCATCACAAACATTATGTTTCCTGAAGAGAATTAAAACGGAAAAAGTCATAAGTTTTTCCGATCCATTACCCCAAAAAATCAAAAGTGACGAGCAAAAAAAACATTTTTACCAATTTATTGGGCAATTGCTATTGTCCACAAAATTTATTGGGCAATAACTTTTGAACTATTGGGCAATTGCCCAATGGCTACCCCCTGGCTACGCCACTGGTTGGTTAGCTTCGTTACTAGAACAATACCCTTTTAAAGTATGCGCATCAACGGAAAGTAATTTTGCCCTAGACGGGAACGTCTTTTACTTGTTTCTTAGATTGTTCTAATACTAAATAAATTAGAACTTTTTCGATTTATCCATTGCCCTATTTTTTCCTTTAGATGTCGATGGTGAGAAGTGCATTTGCTATTGATAGGACGAATGAAACGACTCTTTTCTGAGAGACAGTATACCATTTGTTTGAAGTTTTTCTCCATTAGATAAAATAACTAAATGATATTCCGCGCTCGATGTTCGATTAAACTCAAGCAG